GTAGGCGTTCAAACTGCCTACGATACTCCTATCTTAGAGGAAAAAGGAATTAACTTCTCCAAAAATAGCTGTGAAAACTGGTCCCAAGTGAGTGGAGGTGAACCTATTGGTCTGGCTTGAACATAATCCTGCCACCATCTCTTGGCAGAGCCGGTCATGTGAAACACTACGAAGTCGACTCCATTGGACTCCACAATACCCATATTGGACAACACCTCGTGGAAACGGTCCAAATAATGATGTGGATCCTCAGAAGGTGTACCTCCAAATGAATAGGAAAGAGCTTTGTGAACTTATCCACCCCGGACTTTGTAGCAATAACGGGCTGAACTACCCCAACTGTCGAAACCGCCGGAGTCTGATACATGGGAGTCATCTGCTGCGGAGTGTGAGTGGCGGGAGTTTGGGCTCCTCCCCCATCCTGGGAGACAATTGGTGCCATAGGAAATACTCCGGTCTGGGACACACTCTCCATAAGGACCACTAAGCGGACTAAGGCATCCTGAAGTACGGAAGTAGCAATAGATCCCTCCAGGACCTGAGCGGGTGCAACTTGTGCGGTTTGAACGTGGATCTCCTCCTCATGCTCGATTTGAGGCTTTACAATGGGTGATGCTGCACATGCTCTAGGTTGAGCCCTGCCTCTGCCTCGGCCCCGGCCCCTACCCGTAGTAGTGATTGCAACAGGGGGCTCTGGCTCCTGCCCGGCGTGTGTGTCCTCAACATCTGCGAGAGAACAAAAGTAGAATGGTTCAAACATCAGAAATAGAATAAAGTTGCACGATAAAGAAAGAAAGAAGTGAAACTTTTCTAAAAGCCTCTAGAAGATAAGTACAAATGTCTCTGTACCGATCCTCCAGACTCTACTAAGCTTGATTATAACTCATGATACCTAGAAAACCTGGTGCTCTGATACAAACTTGTCAAAACCCCAAATCTGATCATCGGGGCCGTGATGGCGCCTAACATTTACTTGCTAGGCAAACCAACATTAGGTAATTAACTAACCAGTTTTAGCAATTACAACAAGGTGATGATAATTAATAATTAATAAACTCAGATATGAACACTACGTTATAATAAATAACGTGGTACTAAACTACTCCCAGAAATCCGAAATTACAAGTATATGAGCGTTTAGAATACTACAAACATAGTCTGAAGTAAAACATAATACTATCTGAAACTAGAATAACAATAAGCATGGTAGACTGGGACTTCAGGGACTGCGAACGCCAGCAACTCTACCTCAAGTCTCCTGTAGCTGTCAAATCCGAGCAGTCTTCGCTACACGCTGCTAGGACCAATACCGGGATCTGCACAAGAAATGTATAAATGTAATACAACCGACCCCATGTACTCTGTAAGTGTCGAGCCTAACCTCGACGAAGCAATGACAAGGCTATGGCAAGTCACTCACAATAAAACTATAAGAAATAATAATAATAATAATAATAATAATAATAATAATAATAATAATAATAATAATAATAATAATAATAATAATAGAAAACAGGAATAGAAAATAAAGCAGTAAACTCATATAAATGGACCCGATGGTCAACTACCAGAGGGCCCCAGAATAACATGATCTCAAATCTCGTGCCATAATGTCAAGCATAAATCTACAGCCACAAACAACTACAACACATCAAATCTGTTGCGGTGTGCAACCTGATCCCAAGTTTAAACACAACATCTTGCACAACATACATCTCATTTTCAATATCAATATCATATCGTTTCTGGGGCGTGCAATACGGTCCCCCAATATCAATTCCTTTCAATACCGTTGCGGCGCACACCCCGATCCCCCGATATTATTTTATAAACATAAACAACTCAACACCAATACTACTGTAATATCAATAAAAAAGAGAAGTGAAACATGCATAACAATAAGGAACTACCCAAACAAATGGAGGATTATCAATACTTCAAAATCCCAAACCTTTGGCAAAGCAATAATATCAAAATAGCTAGATGACTCACATAAACGAAATAACATAAGAAGGTACTCCAAGTAATATAACGATAAAAACAAGTAGAACGCGAGACAACGAAAATATACAATTAATACAATTAGAAGCATGTAGCAGGTAAGCAAATATTGGGCAAGAAATATGCAAATCGAAACAAGTAACAATTAAACAAAAAATAACAAGTATGTGTAACGACCTGACCGATCGTTTTGAGCATCTACATCCCGTTCAACTATTTGAAGTTTTGAGTAATTTCATATGATGTATTATGACAAGTGTGTATTGTCGGTTTTGGTTTTCAGGTGTTTTGGGATTAGTTTGGAAGAATGAATTTCATGTTGGAAGCCTTAAGTTGAAAGAGTTGACCAAGTTTGAATTTTTGTATTCGACCTCGTTCGGAGTTCTGATGATTTCGTTAGGTCCGGATGGTGATTTTGGACTCGGGCGTATGTCTAGAATTTAATTTGGATATTTATAGAATGTTTCGACGTTGTTTCTTCAAGAATAAGTGGTACCATATTAAGTAAATGAGCTCCAAATTCAGTTTTATTGAAGCATTAGATCCGTACTAAAATTACGGAGCCATAGCAAAAAGAATCGCCGAAATCGGATATTGTGTGAGAGAGTTATGCCCATTTCTGTGTCGGAAAAGATTGTTGTTTTTCTGGGGCAGAGGCAAATCGTAGGTATCAAATGCGATTTATAAGTCTCGGGTGTCAAATGCGACTTGCCTGGACAGATTCTAAAACGGGGGTTTTAGCCATTTTTAATACATGTGGAGCTATGGAGCTCGGATTGAAGCGATTTTTGAGGCGATTTTCACCATATGGATTGGGGTAAATGATTCTAACTCGGTTTCGGTTAAATTACATGAATCTATTGTTGTTTTATCAACAAATTAGTATTTTGGGTTGAAAATGGTAGAAAATTTCATAGGCTTTAATTGAGGATTTGAAGGCCGAGTTGTGCTCGAATCTGAGTAATTTTGGTATGGTTGGACTCGTGGTTGAATGAGGTTCGGATTTTATAATTTTTGTCGGATTCCGAGACATGGGCCCCACGTTGACTTTTGGTTGACTTTTCAAGCGAAGTTGGAAATTTTTATAAATTGTTAAATTGTAAGTATCGGAGTATATTTTGATTAATTTGCACGTTGTTTGACTAGTTTCGGATCGTTTGGCTTGGAATTGAGGAGATACGAAGGCATTCAGAGGTTGATATGTGCAGAATAGAATTTTCGGAGTATTGTTTAGCTTGCTCGGCATTGAATTCGGCTTGTTCGAGGTAAGTAACACTTCTAATCTTCGAGCTGAGGGTATAAACCCCGAATATACATGATGTGATTTGTTTAGAGGTGACGCACATGCTAGGTGACGGGCGTGTGGGCGTGCACCGTAGAAATTGTGACTCAATCGATTCTGTAGAGATGTGTAGTCAATTAACTTGTTATTCTCCATGTATCTTCCATGTGTTAGAGAAATGGAGCTGTGACTCATGTTAGAAATCATGCTTAGGCATATGTTGGTACTATCGGGACCCACTAAGGTCATTTCTGCTGTCGAATTATATGTTTAAATTGAAATTCCGTACTCAGTCATATTCATTCATTTCATATCATATTTCAGTCTCTGTTATTATTTATTGATACACCATATCATCATTTTGGGATAGTTTCATGACATTGTGAGCCCGAGAGACCGGAGAGATTGATGACTGAGTGAGGTCGAGGGCCTGATTGTGAGGATATTTATGGGAGAGGGATGCACGCCGCAGCAGGCTATATTGGCTTTATATATTTATTATTATGGGATTGGGTTGCACGCCGCAGCATGTTTTTATTCATTTATGCCTGGATCTGGCTTATTATAGCACTTAAGCTGAAGGAGCCCCTCCGGAGTCTGCACCCCCCACAGTGAAAACAGTTGATATGTATATTTGGGATGGACTTCCCAGGGCATGGAGTTGCCTTATTTATTTATATTTGGGATGGACTTCCCAAGGGACTTCCCAGGGCATGGGCATGGAGTTGCCTTATTCATTTATATTTGGGATGAACTTTCCAGGGCATGGAGTTGCCTTTTTCATTTATATTTCGGGTGGAATTCCCAGGACCATGGAGTTGCCTTTACATTTATATTTGGGATGGACTTCCCTGGGCATGGAGTTGCCCCTTTTCATTTATATTTGGGATGGACTTCCCTGAGCATGGAGTCGCCCCTTCACATTTATATTTGGGGATGATTTTTCCCTGGGCTGGATTGACCCTATACAGTACCGAGTGACTGATTGTCAGTTATTATATATATGTAATGACCCAGCCGGTCGTTTCATGAGTTACCGCGCCGTTTCCCCCATTTCTGCTTTTTTATGCTTTGATCATTTGTATTATGCGGTGTCGGGTTAGTCGGTTCGAATCCGGAATGGTTTTGGGAAGGGTTTGAGACACTTAGTCTCTTAAGTTGGTGTTTAGTTGGAAAAGTCAGCCGAAAGTTAACATGTGACCAAACGATCCCGGAATTTGGGTTTTATAATTCGAATAGCTTCGGGAGGTGATTTGGAACTTAGGAGCGTGATCAGAATGTGTTTTGATCTCAAATAACAAAACGGACCTATTACAAGTCCCAAACCAAAATCCAAACCTGATAACCATAAAGTGAACCTACGGTTCCTAGGGAATTTCCAAACATTCAAATTGTTAACTTTCGACAAAACAAGTCAAATCAACCTAGGGACCTCCGAATTCAATTTCGGAGTACGCCCGAGTCCAAAATCACAATACGGACCTACCGGAATCGTCAAAACACCGACCCGAAATCGTTTACCCAAAATGTTGATCGTGGTCAACTCTAACCTCATTTTTAGTTAAAATTCTCTCTCTTTTAAAATTTCACATAAAAGCTTTTTGAAAAAGCGACACGGACCACGTACGCAATCCAAGAAACACCAAATGAAGCCACAGGAGGTCTCGGATCATGAAAATTAAAGCTAGTACTCAAAATGACCTATCGGGAGATCTAATACTATAACCAATCAATTTCACTTTAATAATTCTAATACTATATGCACACAAGTCTTTCAGTTGATCTTAATACTTGGAAAGAATACAAAGTTTCCCGCCAAAACAGAAAAAGGAACTGTAATTCCTGGTATGTCCAAGTCCAACAACATGGATCTTAGATATTACTGCTTCAGAAGGCCTTGAAATTACCTCTTCCAGCAAGCTTCTTTCTTCAGTCTAAAAAGCTTCATTTATTTTCTGCTCAAGTGAGGATGCCAATTCTACAATCTAAAAAGCACGATAAGTTCGAACAACAGTAGCGATTCGGATTCCCCTGGCAATTCTATCCTCTGACATAATTTCCTAGTCAACCAGTTATATATTGGTAGACTGCAATCAAATCTGTTCTACTTACAGAGATCATTTGCATACAATTTACATTTTCCTTTAGCTTTGTATCCACAGAATCTAAGCCCATTTTGCAAGACAGACAGACAGGTCAAAAGCTGTTGATAACCTGGCTCTGTGGTTTCACATTTCTCCGGGGAGCATTGTATCCCCTGGTAGATCACAGACAGCAATACCCTAAAGAGAGAAAACATAATTTCAGTCTCACCACCCTTGAGGAGATCGAGGAGAATAACAAACAAAGTAAAACAAAACCTCACCTCCCCTGTACGATGCGCGACACATCTCTTCTCAGCAAGCAACTCGTCTTCTGACTGCAAAACCATAGACAAACACCAGATTAATTAACTTCTTCATGAATGTTTATGTGAACAGAAATTAGCATCTTGAGTTGGAGCTTTTTGGTTTTATATGTTAAACATTTTCCCGCCAATCTGATCTACTAATTTGCCATCAAATGACATATTCTTTTTGCGAAAGAAAAAAAAAAGATGTCCCACAGTTAAAGAGAAAGGGAGATGACCTTCTTTATTCGGCTTCGCAGGTAGTCATCAATTATTACATCCTTGACAAGTTCATAGTCACCATCACCCTGCAAGAAGAAGAATATTAGATTTGCAACGGAAAGGTTAACCAGGTAAATTGGGAACTGAAGGAAATAACCAACATTTGATCTGCATGGCATGCTGAAAACTATACCCTCTGCTATCCCATAAGGATTTCCATCGGTGTACACCTGCATTATCAGATCCGAATCACATAGGAGCTCATAAATGACAATTATTTACCATCTAACCGGACAATAAATAACCATACTAGGTATATCACACATGACAGAAGATGTGGTTGCATTAAAAATATTTATAAGTTTATCTTAATAGTAGCTTGGCTTCCATTTCAGCTAATTATGCCCATTCAATCAGGATTTTTAGTTTGTGGGTATGAAGTGCCACAGCACTCACTATTCCCACTGCTGAAGGCACGTTTGCTGGTACGTCCAATAGTTGATATCTCTATTTGGAAATAAGAAATGACCAAAGTGATACTCAACCACCTTCTAGTGATATTACAATACTTTCTGAAGCCGGGGGTGGGGTGGGGAAAGACATTAACGTTCAGTATGTGCCTTTCCCCATAATAGCTCTTAGAAGTCAGTAATAGACAAATCAATTTTCTTATAATGAAGAATTCATGAACTTACGCCAGTGGAGAACCAATCGCCTTCGGGCGTAGGAGTAACGAGAGACCTTATTGCATCAACAACAGATACAGCAGTCGATGCAGCTGAAGATCTTCCCCATTTCTGAATAAGTACACCACCTCTCTGGAGATCAACGCTATGCATTAGAGACTCTTTTAACAAAAACATATGAAAGGCACAAATGCAAACTCTGAGATTTGAGACCACACCTTTTGAACCTTTTCAGTGAACTCTTCCTCCAACCATTTAGTGTCTCTAATGACCTCTTTGACTGGGAAACCATTAATTTTTGCATTTAAAAAGTCTGGTACCTGATAGCAATAAACTGACTGTTACTTATAGCAGGACTAGTAAAGCAATTGAAAATACCATTGAATGAGAGAATCTTATCAGAAACCTGAGTGGTTGAGTGGTTTCCCCAGATGGTCATATTAGATACTTTGTCATAGAAGACTCCAGCTTTCAGAGCAAGCTGCAAACCATGAGAGTCCTAAGTTAAACGTTTTGTGTTCACCACGGCAAAGAATGAAAGAAACTATATGATGTTTAATGAAGTGGCTTACCTGGCATTTTGCTCTATTTTCATCTAATCTTGTCAATGCATGAAAATTCTTTGCAGATATATCTGGAGCATTTTTCAAGCAAATCAATGCACTAGAGAGGAATAGAGAGATATTAGCAATGAACAGAGTGGTATAGAAAGGAGACTTGCTATCAAGTGAAATAGTTTATTACTTGGTATTACAAGGGTTTCCCACCACTATCACTTTGACATTACGAGATGCAACAGCATTGAGAGCTTTTCCCTGTAATGATTATATGAAAAGCTTGATTCAATAACTTATACTATCTGTCTTCCTTTCGAAACATAAACTCCCAGAACAACTAGAAGAATATACCTGCTCAGCAAAGATTTGGCCATTTATATCCAATAAGTCAGCTCGTTCCATTCCGGGGCCTCGGGGCTTTGCTCCTATGAGAAGTGCCCATTCAGCATCCTGGAACACCTCATAAGGATCTATACCTATGCTGACCTCCCTAAGCAAAGGATACAAGGAGTCTTCTAGTTCCATAGCAACTCCTGCATCATGATATCTAAGTGTTAACTAAAGCAGAAATTCATCAACAAAAGTAGGAATTCCATCGTTTTCCTGCAGTTAGCGATAACGAATATCATAGAAGTAGCCAGTGGCGAAGCTAAAAATTTCCTTCTAGTTCCATAGCAACTCCTGCATCATGATATCTACGTGTTAACTAAAGCAGAAATTCATCAACAAAAGTAGGAATTCCATCGTTTTCCTGCAGTTAGCGATAACGAATATCATAGAAGTAGCCAGTGGCGAAGCTAAAAATTTCCCAAAGGGTGTTCAAATTGAAAAGAAGTGAAAAACTTTCCGACAAAGGGTGTTCAGTATGTGTCATATACCTCTAAAACATAATATTTTACCTCTATACACAGTGTAATTTTTTGACGAAGGCTGGTCTTATAACCATGTGGCTTCGCCACTCAAGTAGCAAAGAGCTGAAAGTTGGGAAATGCTATAAATAAGAAAGTAAACATTTCTAATCCAACGGCAGACAACAAACACGTTATATTCTATAATGTTGGACAAGTTTGTTGGTGCTTAAATCACAAGGACATATAAGATTAGTTTTTCTAGGTAAGCCACAAACGTACCCTAAAAACAAGAAAGAAAAGGAGAAAAGAAGAAAAACATATTAGTCCGTGAAAGATCCTCCAAAAGTTTAGATGTTTATAGGATAGGGAAAATACCTACCTTCAAGGGCTTGGATTGACCGCTCGGACCCCAATAATTTTAATGCTATTGGCTGATCAGGCCCAAAAACTTCACCTGCTGCAAGCTGGACAAATTGAAACGAATTATGTACTTTCCGAGGTTTTATGTGACTGACTAAAAATCTTTTGAAATTGTCATACTGGTTGATAAGAACAAACATGATGATGCTAGATAACACACGTCCAAGCAGTTAATTCATACTTTAAGTTCAATATTAGATGAACCAGCAGTGCATCCAATCTACTTCAGCCATTTTAAAAAAAAAAAATTGGTATTAGATAAGATTCCGTCCACCAAAAATTCTTGCCAAGGAACTGATTAAAATGAAAGATTGTCTACATGGTGAGAACCGGCGGTAGATAGCAGATGAAATTCTGCAACTAAGGAACGTGGTCGCACGTTGCAGATGCAATTTTGACTCTGACAGTTAATCTCGAGGGCACATGACTAACCTCTATGGCTTTTTACATCATGTCGTCCGAAAAATTAATCAAGCATTATGCTCAATATTGCATTCTCTTCATGAAGAAAACTGTGCATGGGCTTTGCGTTTTGGTTTAAGTAGACGTATCTACCATTTACTAAAATTAATAGGGAAAGTGATTCTTACTTTAAAAAGAAGATGATTAGCAATCATCCCAGCAGCACCTGAAACACTGACATTTATCAACTTCTTCCAACAACTTGTTTCTTCTTCCTGTTGACAAAGATTATGCTTAAAATTCAATACTAACTAAAAGTGAAAGATAGATGTTGTTTGACTATTCAACTTTAACTTTGCATTGTAAACTGAAGATAACTTTCAGAAAGAGTTGGCTTGGATTTGAGTATGCATAGTCACTAATTACTAATCCAGCATACAAAAGTTGTACAGTGTGTCTTTCATTCTGCTTTTATTAAGAAACTCCAGCAATTGATAATAAGTCAGAAAAAGCCTTTAGGTTGTTTTGTACCATTGAAGTACAGTGAATGAACTTCCAATCCTAGTCTATATCTTTACTAGCTTCTTGTTTGTTGTATCTCGTCATATAGATCTCCAGTAGAGTAATTGGTTTAACTTAAAAGGGTATTGGTAATATTATGCATGAGATAGAAGTTCAGTCTCTATTAAAATTTAGATGTTTATAGTAAATGGATTCCAAGTCTGCAAACCTATGGGCGAATATTGATAGCTTGAAAATCCTTCCCAGATCAAATCTAAGTATTAGGATGGGAAGGATACCAAATTGCTCTTTTACTCATTTCTTCAGCATTTTGTTAGGAAGTGTCAAGATGAAACAGAAATTCTCAAATATGGACTTTGTTCCACAGCAAAATGAAACAGAAAGACGTGTAAATAATGACCCAAAGTTTGGGTGCGTTGTCATTTCTAAAGCAGCAATTACACTCCACCTTATTCTGCATTAGCACTCTATAGCCTTAAATTTTAGCCCCATTCCTCGTGATTGGAAAAGATAACCGCGCCACACGAGGATGCACAAAACTAAACTATTTGGAAGACACTGAGCTATGCTGCAAATATGGACACTTTTGGTAGAGAACTGGCAGAAATTGTTGAGATCGATAGTTTATAGCTTTCCCAAGAAAAACTTTCCTAAATCCACGGAAGGTAAATGTATAATGATCAAATATAAAATTAATATATATATATATATATATATATATATATATATATATATATATATATACACACTTCACTATAAACACCTTTAGAAGTTTTCAGAGAGTAAATAATGTCGGGAAAGTCAAGGTAATGTCGGAACAAGAAGCATATAATGTCCTACACCTCATTATATAATACCCATGCTCCCACTACCATGTGGCGGAGATTAGATTGGTTTTGGTAAGAGTTACTTACTCTTCCCAATTTGTGTGCCATACTTTCTTTTTTAGTTTGTCCCATAAAAAATGGGATACTTCATATTTTAGAAATAATTTAAGTTAAAACTTCTCACTTTACCCGTAATGAAATGATTTATAGCTACACAAATATCTATAACTTCTTTAGACAAAAGTTTCAAAAGTATTCCTTTCTTTTTTAAACACTATGTCGAGTCAAACTCCGCAAAGTAAATTGGGACGGAGGGAGTACCAATCTTTTGGATAGAGTTACTCAATATATGTACTAGTAGGAGGATACATGTAATCGGTGGAATAGTAAAGATGCATCATCCATATATATATATATATAGATTGGTTTGAGTAAGAGGTTACCAATCTTTTGGTCAAATTGGGGGCAAGGAAAAAACCCTCATTCTACCCTGCCACCGTAAAAGCTTTTACCAATTCTAAACTCTTGAACAGGTACAATCCAAATCATCTCAATAAGCCAAAGTAACAAACTAACAATGACCACACAGCTATGTCTAAAAAACAATAGAAAATGATTCTCCAAACCCCTAAATGTAAAACAGAGTGCAGCAGGGCAACAGACTGAAGTACTTGTGAATTTTACAGCACAGCTAAAGCAAGGCTAAAACACGGAAATACTTGGTAATCCATATATAGTCGTTTTCTGTCGCTTAATGACAAAATCAAGAAAATAGAACTTACAGCTTTGAGATCATAAGTGAGACAGAAAACACCAAAGCATTCAGGTTTCTTCTTTAGGTCATTAGTGACCACTGGTGCTTGAACTTCACTGGAACATTAAATCAACAAAGAAAAAAGTTTATAAAACTATGAAACATGTGCTGAAAGTGAAGAAATTTAACATACTTAGAAGTAACAGAGCAACATATATTAGCATAATGGGTTTTTTGGAGAGGCCTAAGACTGAACCGACGCTTCTGATGAGTTGATACATAGAAAAGTTGTGAAGAGTAAAGACTAGTCTTTTTAATTATAGATGAAGAAGAGGAAGGAGTAAATTCTGCCACTGCCATGGCAGCTGAGAGAAGGCTAGTAAATATTGATGGAGAGAGGAAACAGAGTACAAAGGAAAAAGCTTTTGGTTTTGGAGGGAGAGAAAGGAAGAAAATAGGGAAGGGGGAAGAGAATGACAGCAGTTTGGATTAAGTGTTGATTTTGAGCCATGGCATACGACACTTGTCATCTCATCTCATAAATATCTACGTTCGTCTTCTTTTATTAAATGAATACTAATATTGCATTTATAAGTTGGAGATAATGAGAATTACGGCAAACCTATGTATAATGGTTTATCTGGTGAAAACTACAAACGTTATTTATACGTTTAGGACACTCAAGTCTTTTAGTAATAAGTTGAAAAACAAGCACAAGCTACATAATAGATTATCAAATTGATAAAGGAAGGAAATTTGTATTTTAACTCTATTATTCATGAGGTCCTTGATGAAGCAGCTTGGGAATCCAGTATTGGAGCATAAATTCAGGAAACAAAATCAGGTGGCGGACCTCCTCGCAAAGGAAAGAAAAGGGAAAAAGACTTTTGATAGGACAGAAATTATGACAGTTCCTATGATGTTTGTAAACAAGGCATTGTGGTGGACAGACATTTGAAGAACTGTATTTGTCCGTAATGTAAGGGTAAACATTTGTGTTGGTCAAGACATTGGTAACTATACAATATATTGTAACTACATTGGTTTGTATATATAATTATCCAGTTCGCTAAGAAAAAAAAAAGGTTGAAAAACAAGCCGGTCTTAATAGTAAGAAATTAAGGGGGACTAGGCAGCCTGGTGATATAAATGCATCCACTAAGAAAATCTTTATCAATTTCCTTTTTACAAGGTTTAACTAGGTGTCGGGTGAACCTATTAAGTTATTAGTAATATCATAGGTCAACGATAAAATAATATTCCTCTTTTGTTCTCTACTAAGTAATATATGTGAGTTTGCACCTACGAATTCCTTTTGTGTAATGGGAGAAGGGTCATTTCGTCCCTGGTCGTGTAGTTTCACAAATTTAAGCTAGCGTTTGGTTACAGATTTGTTTGAAACTTTAAAAAAGAGTTTTTGAAGTTGTATTGAAAAATAATTTTTGAAAGTTGAAGTTGTATTTGGACATGCATTTTATTTGAAGAAAAGTTGAAGTTTTGTGAGTGGAAGAAAAATTTCCACCCCAAAATTTTCCTAAACCAGTTTTTGGGAACTTGAAAATTTTTCAATTTTTTTCCAAAAACATGGTCATATTTCATAAACAAACAATGTTTTCAAAAAGATATTGAAAAATTAAAGCCAAAATTTACAGTCAAACGGGAGCTAAATAATTTACGATACAGAATTTAGGTAAAAATGTATCTACATATATATATGAGTGTGTATATGTGTGCGTACATGAGTCTTGCTGACATACTGCATGAGGGTATAATGTTAGCAATGTACCACCCACTTTATCTTTTCCTTAAATGCCCCTAAAACACAATAGTATAACACATTAATGAATAGGTTTTTTTGTACTCGTCCCAGAAAAACAAAACCCAGCTCTATATTCTCCTTCTCTGGATATGGCCGCCTCTCTTCCTCTTTTATTTCTACCTTTCTGTCCCACAGCTATGGTTTATCTTGAGGAGAAGTGGAAACATCATTTGTTGTGAAATTCCAGATTGACATTCACATTAGATGCTTTGCTAACAAAATTAAAAGATTACTGAATAGATTAAACATATATTTAATAGATTAAAGATTAAATGAGAATGAATATCATCTTTAAGTCTATTCTGTAAAACATTCCTTGCTTCCTGGAACAAAGTTCAGAGGAATATCTTTTACGATGCAACAGGTTCTTTTTAGAAATCTTAAACATCACAGTCTGCTTTTCGGCAACTTTTAAGGTTAAAATCGGTTGAATAATTTCAAGTGCAACACTAGAAATTTTTTTTCGTAACATCCCAATCTTTAAAATTATCAAACCAAACCCGAAAGTATAAAAATAAAACTGAGTTATTATTGAAAAATGGAATCATCGTGGAACAAACATGGCATTTCTTCTTCTCTAACCTTAACATGGAGCACCAATAGTCTCCTATTCTGGTTTCGACTTTCGATAACTCTGTATAAACTTTTGTTGGTGTTTCGATGACTTTGAATAAACTATCTTGGACAAGGATGAAGCTGGATCATTGGCATAAGCAAAAGCTATGTCAAAAAACAACAATGGCGGACCGTGTGTTCAACGAAATCAGGAATATACTTAAGATCCAGTGAGATCGTTAAATCGGATGGTGTCGAAGCCTTGCTACCTATTTCACTTGCTCATTTTCTTCTCCTACATCCCCATTCGATTCTCCGCTTCTCAGCTCCTCTTTCCTTCTTAAACGAGAAATTCAAGTGTTTGTTGCATACTGCGTCTTGGCTGTTGTGAACATTCTATTTGAGAATGCTATAGAAGTTGCACGCTTTCCAGAGTTTGATTCTGAGCCAAATGTTTTTGGGCCTACCATTACAAAGAAACTTCTTTGTGGCCGTTTTGAGCTTGACAAAAGACTTCTGGATTATGTAAATGGAAAATAGGTCAAACATGAACAGTATTTGCTGTCTCCCTTTTGTTTCATCTGGGCATTGGGCTTTTGATCTTCCAACCCCAATAGAAGATGTTATTCATTCTCATTCGGTTTCTCAAGCTACTTAATCGCTTCTGTTCTTCCTTCAAATTTCCTGTCAAAACTATAGGCAAACATGTTAAGGGTGCTGGATCAGAGATATGATTCATACTTGTGAGAAAACTATCTTTTCGTTTTCCTTTTCTTGACATAGTTAAAAGAGGAAAATGAGAACCTAATTTTGCTGCATTCATTAGGTCACTGGTTTTGGATTTGTACACTGCAGTTCAAATAGTGCCTTTTTGACCACAGGGAAACAAAAAAAAAAAAAAAATCTATGGACAAGGATTACCCTATACTGAAATTTGACACCAAATAAAATTAAGAATAATGTACTATAGCAATAATGTATCGTAACCATGGAGTCAACGTGAAATATACATTAGACAGAGAAATGAATTGAAGGACGAAAAAATGAATTTGGAATAAAGAAATTGCTATAATTTTGCTATCATTTACCCCAAATTTAAACGATGCAAGCCACTGTAGATGCTCATATTGATGATACATTACCCTTCACGAGATATAAGGAATAAACAAACGACCTAACTGATTGTTAGAAGCTATGAAACGTTATAGCTGTATTGAATGGTCATATTTTCAGTCAACTGAATCAAATCTGTGATAATTTATCCCACAAGCTTTGTTTCGGAAAAATCTTCAAAAAAATTCATGTGCTACTCTCTTTCAACAAAACATACTCTCCTCCCGTGGATCAGCATTTCACAAACTCACCCCTATAACAATGTCAACAGAGTTACAAAATCACCACATGGACATGATATTGACGCTATCCATTACGAAAAACTCAACAAAAAAATATTAGAAATATAAGTCCAACCTGTCATCTCTCAGAAACGGATGCTACTTTCCGAAATATCATGGACTCAGCCGTGCGGATCGCTCTTTGGGATCCAGTCATAGTCACCTTCCTGCAAAACGTGATAAATTTTGTTCAAAATGTTTATACTCTCTGTATAGCTCAACCTGTCAAGTGAAACAAAAAAATATCAAGGATGTCATACCGGTCAGAAGTACCGGACACGAAATCACCCCTATCTGAAATCTTTATTCTGGCTCCACTAACCTGCAAGGGAAGCACAGACTTAGCATATACACAAGCAGGGAGCAATTGAAACTTCTTTACACACCTGACTGATCTCCATTATATTCCTCCCATTCCGCCCAAGCACCAACCCTATATGCTCATCTGCAACACCAATAGTCACAGAATTGTCCCTATCTTCCTGCAACACCATAAAAGCACCAAGTGTCAAAGCTCAACGTGAGAAAAGAAACTTGACAGAGCTAAAAACAAAAGAATAGTAGAACCACATTAGAAACAGAATATGATATAAAGCTGACAGAAGAAAAGTATAAGCTGACTTTTTGGTGAAAGCAGAATTGCATTAAAAAGTGTCACTAATAGAATGCGGAATAGACCTTGTTCTGATATCTGTTATTTGTAAATCTCCCTCCAATTCCATTTGGTGGTCCATAGTTCATTCCCACGTAAACTGCTAAGGAAAAGGAAGATTTTAGATTCTGAAGTCGGACACTGAGAATTAAGACAAATCGAATTTCTCAAATTTTAAATACTTCAGTCCAGTAACCACTTAATATTTTTAGAATGTAAAGTAATAAGCACGGATTCGGTCACTAGATGACCGTATGAAATCAAAAACAATCTACATAATGCTGCACCAAGTCAACCACTAGTCTACTACAGTAATTTCCTGAACAGTACACCTGGTAGCTAGGGAAAACATCATTTAAGAGGCTGGATCATCATTATCTTAGAAAGCCCTATGAACATGAAACAAGCGTTGTTCCCTTATCCAAGCATCCATTCTTTTTATCCTGAAATCCTCTCGGACACCACCAGATTGCCGCATTTGGTTATTAAGCAAGAACAAGAACCGCTTTTCCCTAGGAGAACTAAGCATAAGTCTAAGATCTAGGGCAGTCATTCAAAAAAGAAATGATCAAGACATAAGAGCAGATCTTATCCTTATCCATGCTGACAATCACTTAAGTGGAAGTATTCCTAATTAGTTTTTTTTTAATATTTATAGTGGAAGTTTTCCTAATTAGTTATAATTGACACATACCTGCATATGGAAATGGAGCAATGATAGATTGTATATAATGACGGTCTTCTACCAACTTATATAGAATCAATTCAATAGCTCGCATCTGCTCCCCAAGAGTTCCAGTCACTATTACTAGCCTATCATGCAGTCCTGGAAAATTGTTATCCTGAGGAGATATTTTTATGCCAGCCCGTGAGTCTTCAATAAATGATCTGTAATATAAAAAGCGTCTACAATCAAAACCAATGATTTCTTTACCGCCAATATTACCAAAAGCTAGAAACTAACAACTTGGTAAAAACTCTGCTGCATATTTAACTGCAAGATAGACAGTTCATATGAACCTTCATCCTGTCACAAAAAACTTTATCAATAATTATATTCCCATGATCTACAGATGGGCAATGATCTTTGTCCTAACCTTTCTAGTTGTCCCATTATATCCTTGGTTCATCATATGTGTAGGGGACAGGGACCTACGCAATAGAAACATTAGCTTTTGAATAATGCATGGCCTTATACTTGCAGATTTGCACCTGATTTATATGTTACAGCTATTCTTATCTTAACTTTTCATGTTCTGAGCAACCTCTGAAGGAAAAACACTAGCTTTCATGGAGGAAATAAGGCATATCAATCAACTATGACTCAACTCCAAAATAGTTGATTTCGATTATAGGATCACCTATATCCACTCCACTTAATTCAAGTCCGTTTCACTTGAGAAAAGAAAAGTAAGACAAAAAAGTGTTAAATGCTAAGCAGAAGAGCTTTTCATATTAGACTATGTGCTTCGTTCAAAGTCAAAAGCCCGCCTAATTCTAATTGATCCTGTTATTTTTTAAAAATCTAACAGGTTCCTGGTTGTTCAGAATTCTTTCAATTTTATTAGGACTTTCCGAATTTTAAATTTTTGCGTTTTAGTGACTCTCCAATGAAAAGGTGTGAGACGTTGGTCATGGTGGGTCTGAGGAGAGGGAGAGGTAGGCCTAAGAAGTATCAAGGAGAGGTGATTAGACAAGACATGGCACATCAGCAGCTTACAGAGGACATGGCCCTTAATAGGAGGGCGTGGAGATCGAGAACTAGCATGGAAGGCTAATAGGTAGTCGAGCGTATCCCTTTCTCATACCTTTGGTGTCACATATCCTTCTCGTACTTTCTTATACTTAGATTTCTATTACCGATTATTTCCTTCGCCTTGGTTAATCTTATTACCTTGTTATTGTTACTGCTTCTTTTCCGTGGTTTCTATTGTATTTCTTTGTGACTATGTTTTTCTTGAGTCAAGGGCCTATCGGAAACAGGTCTCTCTACCTTCACAAAAGTAGGGGTCAGGTCTGTGTGCACACTTTTTAACACTACCCTTCACAGACCCCACGTGTGAGATTCTACTAGGTTAGTTGTTGTTGCGCTTGTAGTGACTCTAGATCTCCTACTTTACAATATCAATGCCAATTCTAAACTTTGTACTTAAGAAAAGATAAGCATTTTGTCTCCAATAGATGACACAAAAGCATGACCCCCCCCCCCCCCCATGCAAGCATAGTATAAAATGAGAACACGTGATTTGGATTTTCCTCGCCATTAACTCTATATGGAATCGCAGTGGACTCTTCTTTGCCTTTGGGCTCCTCATACCTACCACACGATGAGCAATGAGAATCAGTTATAACTGTAAAACTGCCACCAGAACTAGTAGAGTAGCAGGTATGAAGTAGAAAAAAGACAAATATGTTCAAATCATTCTTTTAGGCCAATAAAGGAGTTGGTGGATCGGCTCCATTCTCAATATCCCTCAATTACTACTCCGCGTTTTACTTTCTAAAAGTTTTAAAGAAAAACAAACTCCTCACTCCTCTTTATACTTCCTCTCCTACTCTTCCACTTTCACCCCAGATAACAACAAAAATCTTTTCTTTTCTGTTCTTTTTAACTCAGAGGCATGGACTTTTCTTCCACTAGTAAAGCAGAACAGCACAATCTTCTCACCTGTGCCCGAATGAAGAAGGCACCAAATCATAGTTTTACCCTTCAGCTGAAACTCATGCCAACAGAAATCTCTCGACCTTTAGAAGGCCATAAAGATCCCCACCTTCCTATAGAAATGGTTTTTGTCATGTCTTCTGAAAAGGTGTTGTTTCTACATTATTCTATTTCCAAATATAAGTATCACATGTTCTTTGATAATCGTATCTGCTATCAAAGAAACTTTTCACAGTTATCTTAGAAATAGAAAGCAATCATATAGGCTATATTCTTCTTAATAAGTAACATAGAGGCTATATAACGTCGTCAAAATATTAGAAGGGTGTATTTGTGATGGTTTACCAGAAAATACAGACAATAATTTGTATTTACCAGGAAACTAACATCGATCAAATAAAATGCACTACATCTGCTTGGATGCAAGCCTAACCCATCTATGTAGAAAAAGACTTTTCCAATGGCTAAAATCAATCGCATTCTTAATGGAATCACAAATCGGAATCCAGCAGCAAAACTACAGTTTTTGCTGAAAGACATATATGTACACACACACAGACACACACACACTGGAAGTCCTGAATACAACAACAACAACAACAACAACAATGCCACAATCCCGAGCAAGTTGGGGTCAGCGAAATAGTCCCAAAGCTAAAACATATTTTTTTTGTAACAAAAAATAATCACTTAAGTAAATGATAGAACATATACTTTAATCCTTAATAACTATGCAACAACAGACCTTTTCCTACAGCACCCTAAACGGTTGTCTACATGGACTACAATCCCCCCTTTAGCTTCATATAAGAGAAGGTGGCTGAATATATCTTTTTCCATATAGGTAAGAGAAGGTGACTGAATTTACTGATTACATTTATCTCCTATCCCAAGTGACAAAAATACCCATAGCCTTCAATGCCTAAGTAAGGTTAAAGCTTCGGTCTGCATCCTTCTAGCATTACCCCCCCCCCCCCCCTTTTTTTTTGGTTGATCAGTTGATCTGTGTTCATAGGACTTGGTTGAATTATATAGGAAATTGATGAAACGGATAGAAAGAGAACCTAAAAGTGTAAAATAGCAAAAGCTCAGCTATGGACAGGATATCGTAACATTAACCAGGGAGAATTTAGCTATGGATACTTAATCTAGAAAACAAATTTAGAAAAAAGAATCTTAACGATTCATATTGGAAGAAGGAACTTAGTCACTAGAACATGCATTGAAGCAAAGCCTCTGTTTGCATGTGTGATATTATTTCAAGGGGTAATAAGCTGCTATTCATTATTCAATGGATGCATGGCCTCAAGCAATTGATCATTGTGCCAGGCAGAATCCAAAGACAAATAATCACTTTCACTTCAAGAGAATCACTCCAGCACATGTAACATGCAATTTTTTCCATAACTCTGAGAAGAACAACTACTACGCCTCAGTCCCAAACAAGTTGGGGTCGGCCATATGAATCCTCACTTCTTTCATTAAGCTAAACCCCAAACTCATATCATCATCATTCCAAATAAAATAAAAGTGAGCGAAAATTACAGCAAAAATTATTTGAGTACATTATGTCATTTAGGTGCATCACTGTAATGATAATAATAATAATAAACAAAAAAATCGAGGACATTTGCGAGGTGGACTGCTTCTCAATTAAAATAAGAACATGAAAATAGGTGCATTTCTAAGAGCAATACGCAAAATGCAACCGCAATGCTTATGAGATACGAATTTAGTAAGAACTCATACTTTATCGTGGCTCCTCCCTTCCCAATAATTCCACCACAAGAGCTATTGGGCACAACTAGTCTAACTTTTGATCGCACGTCATCACCATCTTCAGCATAAAACTGACTCAAGAAAGAGACAGTATTTCAATCAATATGTCGATAAATGTACAGAGAATGGGATTCAAGAAAGTGTATTACCTCATCTAGCAATTTACCAAGAATAAGTTCAACTGCCTTGAGTATATTATCCACAAGCCCAGATACCATTATAACCCTATCCGACGTACCAGGGAAAAACTCAAAGTTGCGTGACAACTGAACTCTTGCCCCAGAACGGGACTGAAACTCGGTGATTGTTGAGCCACCTTTTCCAATAATTGAACCGGCTTCAGTATTTGATAGAAGAAACTTGACATAAGTTTTCTCCTCCTCGTGGTCTGGAACATCAGAGTGAGAAGGAAATAAGAGACAACACGAAATAAAGTAGTACTAAAATTGATGTTGTAAGTTAGTGATCAGAAGAGATAGTAACAACACAGGCTACTAATCAAAACTAAAATCATGATTTTGAACAAACAAATTGAAAGGATAATAAGTAAACATAATGCTCACGAAATCGCAAAGGCATTACACAAAGTGCTATACCTATGTGCCTGTCTCATGATATCAAGCAGCTTTTCATATATAAATCCTTAGTAATGAAAACAAAATCTGGCACCTCATTTCCCATCTTCCTAAATCAGCCAAATAAAAAAGAAGGGAAAGTACCAAAACCGATGTAATACAGGATAATATTGTCAACTATACAAAGTGGGAAAAGCATAAAGTTCTGCTGGGCTTAAAGTGCAATTAAAGCGCCCACTTTAACCAAGAAAAGCGCATATTAAGAAAAACGAAAACGCAATAACGGAAAAAGGTTATTCAACACAAACAAAAACTTATATGAGAAAGAAACTTTAAAAAAAATACTGCTGATTTCTAGTCTAAAACAAATATTGCAAAAATCATGCATTTATTACTTTCATACTATGAGTAATCAGCTAAGTAATGCTTTTGCACATATATGGAGCGTCATCACCCTTATAGTCCAGTTGATAGGTGGTAATAATCATACTTTGTAAGCCCAACATGAGTAATCATAACTTTGTTAGGTCAACTAACATTGGGCAGTCTTATAATGCATGTAAAAGCTTTAGATATTGTAATAAAACCCTAAAGTGACCTAATGCGATTGGAGATAGACCTTAGCGCAAATATAAACTTGCCTACTCGCTCCTGCATCAATCTCCCCTGGATGGAGAGGATTTTGCCTCAAATTTGGATTTAACCATATACATGTTAGGGTAAGAGATGTTCGACATCCACAGTAATGAGACATTGTATCCTCCCTGACACTCCAGCTTGTAGTGTTGCTACAAAAAATTTTGAGCACTCTAAAAGGCCCTTTAAATCGAGGCTTTAGTTCTGAATAGTACTTGGACAGAACTCGTTCCTAAGGTACAGCCACAAAGAGTCCCTAGGCTCACAGTTGCAATTCTCCAACTCAAAAACAAAGCTTCTTCATGCTCAGAGCAAATTCAAAATGTGGTCGAAGTAAGTCTCATTTTCTGAGACTCTCTCACCATGTTTGCCAATGGGTACCGAACGTAGTCTTCAAAAAGTGACTTGTATATTTTAAGTCACAACCTAAAGTTGTTATCTTTACAACTTCATGAAGCTTGTCCCCCTCCTTGGAAGAATGATAAGAAAATAATAGAGGCATTATGAATGGTATTACATCGACTCAAGAGTGCTAACTTAGAAAATCGACAGCTAACTAGCATTATTAAGTCTTTGTTCCAAGGAGCCCACCACAAAATCCATGTTACCATCATTCCAAGGATTGCTAGATGTGCACACATGTCAGGTTGGTGATGGCTCTTGGATCTGTGACAAACGGTGCATCTCTCCACAATGAGTTGAACATATTGAGCCACTTTGGGCCAAAAGAAGTGTTCTTGAACCTACTAAGCGTTTTTCGTTACACTCTCGCGACATGCTATAGTCTTGTTGTTTATCACAAACTGCTGATATTGATCCCCAAAAAAGACGATAGTTGGTAGATACAACTAGGTCATGAACAGCCAACCATCACAGTGTAAAAATTGGATAGGTTCAATCTATAGTCGTTAGGGCCTCCTAAAACGATCTACTAAATTCATTGAGTTGTTCCAAGGGATCAAAACGGCTAGATATTAGTTTTTTATAAGTATATCTAGAAACGTAATTTACATCTTTTTTTGACACGTAATTCGCATATTTGGAACCAAACACCAGGCTATGAACTATCCCAAAAACCAACAAAATTCATCCTTAGGGTTTAAAATCACACATATAAGCTAAAAAAACTGCTCACATACTGATTTTCACACTGTCGTATAGAACGTCAGATCAACAATGTAAAACGGCATTATCATAAAATTCAAATATGGAACAACAAAAGATAGCAGATCTGAAGCATCCAGTTGTTAAAAATATGCGCAAAAAAAAAAGAAGAGAATAAAAACAGAGATGATTACCTGAATGAGGAGGCAGCGATTGGCGAGGCGAAGATTGGTCTTGAAGACCTTCAGTAGAGGAATTGCAGTTAGATTCTGTCCCTTCCGTTGCCATTATCAGTGTTTCTGCGTGAATAGAGAAGCGAGTTAAAGCATTCGCATCAGAAGCTGAAGAAGTGATCTGGCGATATGTGACTGTGTGTGTGTATATGTTATAAAATAAGAAGGGGGATTTTTCTAATTCAGAAGAGGAGGAAATGGACAGCGAGTGAAACAAATAGGATGAAGGCTGCTTTAAAAGAGGAAACGTCTGCTGAGCTCTCTGCCTTCTTTTCCTTTTTTTCCTTTTTTGGACATAAGAATTGTAAAATTCCGTTAAAAAGTGGGGGGAAAAAATTGGAAGTTAAAAGGTTATTTGAAAGCTAGAGTTGTATTAAATATAATTTTGGGCTTTTTTTAAATTTTTGTGCGTTATTTGTAATGAAAATTTTGAAAATTAGTCTTCTGGAGTTTTTGAAATTTTTGAAAAATTTCGAAATTCACTTCAAGTGAAAATTAAAAAATTTATAACCAAACACTAAATGAACAGTGAAATTTTTTGTATGGCCAAACGGCCCCTTTGTTTCTTGCGGAATCATTGCACTATTGATCCCTCGATTATTGAAATTTTTTAATCTTGACACTTTTAATACTTTACCAAACATATTTAATCTTTGATTAGATTAAAATGTATTTTTGCTCACTAAACATAAAAGTACGTTACTTTCAGATTATTTTTTAAGCTATATTACTCTTAAATATGAAGTGCCAATCAGTGTTTTAAAAGGCAAGGGCGTGAGGCGGAGTGTTTTACTTAATATGAGGCAAGGCGAAAGCCTCGAGATATGGGGCGTAAGCCCCACCGTTCTTTAATTTTTTAAATTTATGAACTAATAATATAGCAATATAAGGCACAAAAAATAAAAGATACATTAAAAGTTCAAGAAAACTAAAAAGCATTAAATAAAATCATATATAAATAAAATATCTAGTATGTTTTACTAGTGTCACACCTCCTTTTTTAGACACGCCCCGAGAGGGAAGTATATAAGGGAATTTTTCCAATTAAAATGACATTATTCGAAATGGGATTATTTTATTTATCAGAGTTGCCACTTGGAATAGTTTATTTGGTGTCCCAAGTCACCGGTTTATTTTAAATCCCAAACCGAGGAAGTTTTATTTTTAAAGAGTCTGCGAACCAGAAATTCTAGATAAGGAATTATGTTAACCCGGGAGAAGGTGTTAGGCATTCCCGGGTTCTGTGGTTCTAGGAGGGTCCTTAGTGATTATTACTTGGCTTAAATTGTTTAACTACTCATTTTTAGGACCTATGTGCATTTATCTTTTTACCGATTTTAAATCACTTGAATATTCGTAATCAAAGGATTGAGTTACACGTACTTATACTCTTTCCTTTGGCGCGTCAAAAATCATGTCACGCGAACGTGTCCACGATTAATAACGCTTTGTTTATTTATTAAGAGAATTTAATTGAAGTTGCGCGAACGCATACCTCGAGTCTTTTAAGAATTTAATTCGCAATTATATTACGCGAACGTATATATAATCGCAACACTAATCTAAATCGGGCCTAAAGCAGACTACGATCATTGGTTATTTATTAAAAACTAAGTTACGAAATTAATACGAGGGCCATGAATTATAACTTGTCTAAAATGGCTCGCCTCAAATCTGATTTAAAGAAATCTAATTAATTAAGCACTAAGGGAATTTCTAATTTATTTTTAAGCAAACGTTTAAGCTAAACTTAGTAACCATTAAACTAGCAAAAAAAAAAAAAGACAGTGTTTAATTGTTGAAGGAGCCCAGACCGGCTGTGAGCCAATGGCCAACTGCCAAATAAGGAACGACCCTGGAGACACAGTTGGGCTTAATCATGAAGCCCATTTCGAGATTTTGCCAGCCAAAGGAGAAATTTGGCACAAATGGGCCAATGCTAATAGCCCAATTTAGTGCCTCAGCACTAACATTTGAGGCAGCCTTACATTTTCATGAACATCTTTGAATTTGAACCCAACACTGACGAACTTAAAACGCATGTACAACAACATTTGAACACCAATATACATTCTATGTTGAAAATATAACCCCTAGTGCGATAACAAGCCTTACACAAATTGTTCATCATTTAGCAACAAAATTTCAGAAATCAAAACTCATGCTAAATTCTGATTTCAGACCAGTACATTTAAACAAGACTACATGACTGGAAACTTTCTAAAAGAAAACCAAATGTAAAGAGTTAAACTAAAATCCAAAGATTCTCAGGTCTGATTTTAAGTTCAGAATCTATTGCCACTTTGAATTCAAGGTGCTCACATATGAGCAAAGTAAAATGCAATCCAAAAAACACCAACTAATGAAATCAGAACCTAGATCGAACTTGATAAAACCAAACAACATGAATGAGCTGATTTGATGAATACTTAAACTATAGCTATGAGAAAGATCTTCAAAATCACCCAGACTCACAAAGTTGAACTAATAGGTCACAATCCTCATTTTATATACATTATTCCTAAACCCGAGAATACTTTTAAACCAAATAACATTCAAACAAAATCCAAATCCAGCACTTAGAACAAGATATAATGTCAGGGAATGAAATATGAGTAAGTTGAAATCAGAAGAAACATGAACAAAGTATGACAAATTCGAGCAACAATTAACAACAGGGGGCTAATATTTGTCATTTCTTCAAACTGAATTACATGTCTTCACATAACAACTTAACCAAAGCTTCATTTCCAGTCATGGTTCAAAAAAAGTACCTGGAAATTAAGAAGGAATCAAAGGGAAATGAGGAATTAACAACAGCAGGAGCAGAATCAGCCTAAACCAGCAATAGAACAGTATCCAAAACCAAGCAACTTTAAACCAAACTCCTAAATCCCCAGAAACTCAAACCATCTTTACCGGGGTGTAGGAATTTGCATTTTTTCAGAAGTTCTAGCTAACAAAGAGAATCAGAAAACCAAAACCAAACAGAATTTTGAGCTGTTTTTCCAAAGAAAATCCCGGATTTCAATGTTGTTTCAGAGTTTTTCTCAAGACTCATCCGTTTCAATTTTTTGTGTTTTTCAATCTCTAAAATCCCTTTTTGTGAGTGAAGAAAGAGTGCCTTTATAGGCAAGCCTTAAGGCGGCAATAATGAAATCAGTTTTTGCACTTTAATCCCTTTGGAATTTTCATTTTTGCTGCTTAATCCTTAGTTAAAAAATCAGTATTTCATATAAGTCCCAAAGACACCTTCCCAGAAGCTTCCCTAATCAGTTATACATATATTCCCTAGCCTAAATTCCTAAACTAACTCCTAGGAACCCTGTTTTTACCCTGAAGCCAGATGGGTCAAATTGAACCAAAGCTTAAGCTCTAAAACTGGGCTGACCAAAACCGGATTGAATCCCTTTTGGGCTTCTGAATTCCAAAAACCAATTCAATCGGCAATCAAAATTACCCAACTAAATGACCTACAGAGTCATAAAGACTCCTAAGGTCTTGGGCTCAAACAAAACTCGAACAAAATCTAACACAACAGAATCATGCTTAATTAATTAAAATAAAACATAACACTAACATGCATAACAAAAATGACTCTGAGGAAACTGGAAAACAAAAAGAATCAAGAAGAAGAGAAAGAAGTAGAAGATAGAAAAATGAAAGAAAAAATGACGAAAGGATAACAAAAGAAAAAGAAAAATACCTAAAAAGGCTCGGACAAGTAAAGTCTTCAAATAATCAAATTTAAGCAGAGTTTGACATTAATCGTGTGTTCTTATCAAGAACACACGAATAAAATTCGACTAGACCTCAATTTTCACTAAAGTCTCGATTTGGGGGTTTTGGGATTTTTAGGGCTCAGGTTAGATTTAAGATTCAACGGAATCTAGTGTGATTCGAGGGAAACGGGTTGGCTATTTGGGATGGGGAAGTGAAGGGGAGTTTGTGGTATTATTTGGGGCTTGTTTGCGGCAGCGCCGCCGGCTACGATGGCGAAAATTCAGGGCAGAGCTAGGGCTAAATCCGGTCTCTGAAGATGGGAGATGAAGAGTGAGGGAGACGAGTTAGGGGGGGGGGTAAGGGCTTCAGACAGTCTTATACTGTCGATCGAACAGTCCCAAGTCATTCGATCCAGTAAGATGAACGGCTCAGATGATGAGCGACTAAAACGGTGCCGTTTGGTTACTTAAATGACCGGACCGGGTAGGGAAACGGGTTTTGGGCTGGTTTGGTCGGGTTTGGACGGGTAAAGGGTGAAAATGTTTTGGGCCTGGGTGAATTCGAATTAAATTAGCACAAAATCTGATCCCCTTCCTTTCTTTTGTTTCTTTTTCTTTTTATTTCAAAATTCCTTTTTCTTTTCGAAAATTAAAAATAAAACCTAAATTAATCCCTAAATCAAATTATCCTACCAAATTAAATTAATTAGCTCTAAATAATGATTACCACAATTAATTAGAAACCAAATTAAAAGAAAAACTACAAAATTCGAAGCTAAAAATTAAAAAAAAAATGCAAAAAAATGAGTTATTTTTTGTGATTTTTCCATTTTTGTAAAACAAACTAATTTACTAATTAATCTAAAAATGTAAAATTAAATCCTAAATGCAAATGCAATGTATTTTTGTATTTTTATGAATTAAACAAGATTAAACATGCATACAAAAATGCAAACAATCAGAAAATTTCTACAATAATTCCTAAAATAACAAATAACTAAAAGAAAAAATCTAATTTTGGGAATTCTGTAGGAGTAATTCATGTGAGGCAAAAATCACGTGCTCACAACTAGTATAAACAATGCAATAATGTTGAAGCTACTATAAAATATAAATTAACTACAACGTCTTAACTTTCAAACAACTAAATTATATTTTCTTATAAAATATTATCAAACTGCATATTTTACCTCCTTAAAAGTAAATATTCAATAAATTAATCAACATTGTAATTTAAAATATTACTCTTTCATGAGTAAATATAAATTATTTTTAAATAGTAAAATAATAAATATATGATAACTTTGAGATACATAGAACTAAGACATGATGAACTATCAAGTAAAGATATTAATTTGGTTATCTATTTTCAGAAGAAATGATATTCATGCTCACGATATTCTCAATTAGTAAATATGCAATATTATGGTTCGTTATTTGTGTTATTCACAATTTTCATATTCCTAAAAATAAAAGAAACTTTAATCATTCATTTGTTAAGGAATTTGGAGAGTCAACGGTGC